TGTGTTGATTTTCTCATTATTAAACATAAGTTCTACCAGAAAATTCTATGGATAATGCTATTTCAAGTTTCACCACTCGTGCAGGTGTTCATTTGATACCTGTATTGCTCTCTCTCTCTATATCACTGCATTAGATGAAAACATCTGCTCTTGTAAATTAACTAAAAACAAAAGTGTCTTATGTCATTATAAAGTGAGAGGCTAGTGTAAGCATAGCTGTCAATAAAGTTCATTTATGACTGTATATTTTGTTTAAATTACAATATGGAAGAAGTGTGTTGAAATTTAGTCAGAGTTTTTTGTGGAGATGCAGTTTCAAACAGAATCTGCAGGAAATCATTTGAAAAATTTGAAGCCGATGATTTCAACTTTAATGCCAACATAATATAAGCCAGGCTTTAGGTGGCCATCTTTGATCGATGATGGTAACTTCAATGCCAACATAATATAAGCCAGGCTTTGGCTGGCCATCTTTGATTGATGATGGTATTATAAAGAACATCCTACAGAAAGATCCTTTTTTGACAACATCGGAGATAACAGAAAAGTTTGATTCAGCTCAGTAAACCATTTCGGACCATATCTGGAAACTAGGATTTTGTCTGTAAGTGTTCCAAAAGAGTGCTTCATGAGTTAAAAGCTCAATATAGAGATATTATCAGCAAATGGGCTGTTTAAACAAAGCAGTTGAAGAAAAGAAGTCTGTGATATTCAATAGGAAGGAAATCATTTTGCATCATGATAATGCCACACCACATGCTGCTTTGTGACTCATCAGAAATTCGCAGATCTAGGGTGGAAAATCGTGCTACATTTACCATGCATCTCACCCTCCGATTATCACTTGTTTCTCTTGGAAAATTTTTGAAGGAAAACAAATTCAAAACTGAAGCAGATGTCACCCAAGCAACTGCTTGAATTCTTCACATCTAAGGAAAAGACATTTTTCAAAATTTGTATTTACAAATTATTGTTATCCTTGCAAGAGGTTATAAAGTAACAATGAATATTATTAAAGGTATGAAAAATGTAGTATTTTCTTTCACTTCCCAAATGGACAGAATTTTCCAGTAAACCTTATATCTCTGCATTAAACTGATAATTTACCCTATTTAGCTGTAAACATACACATTAAGTTTACATGAACTTATAGTATTTGTGTTATTGATGCACTAAAAATGTGCATTATGCTTAAATTGATACAATAATGAATGCATTTGAATACACATGAATTGCTTAAATGCACTTATAATAAATAATCCAATAATACAGTTTTTCTATGAATTGTAACTATATTAATCAGTTTGAAATATTGACATACTATCAGTCCTAAAATAATCACAATGAAATATCATTATACATTTTGAATATTAATTAAAATGTGCGATAAGTGTCTTAAAGTTCTTGAATGCCCCAAAGGGTCCATGAGTTTTTCATTTATCAAGTGTATGCAGGTATTAAAAAAAGAAGTTCTTACCTTGGCCATTGTATAACTAACCATCATTAGTCCTTGGCTTCAGATATTCAGAGGATTTTGTCAAGGAATCTGTCTTGGTAATTTTTCTGTATCCTGGTTGTCGTCATCATCAGAACTTGCACCTCCATGGTTGTTTTAGTCGATTCACATGAGCTGTAGATAGTGAAATAGCTTATGTGTTTCTAGTTGCATTACTTTATAAATATCACTGAGTAACACTTCTGTTACACTTGTTCTACCAAAATGCAGCCAATGATGATGAAAATGATGTTTTGGCTGCATTTTGGTAGATTGCCCTGTAGCTTTTTGCTACTTACTGTTATATTACTGGACAACATCTTTCTTTCAAATCTTTCTCATTTGTGTTTGTATTCTTCTTAGTGCTTGTTCTTGGATTTCTACTAGGTTATTTCATGAGTCTGCCTCTGTCTGCTAACTTCCTAAGGATGCTATTAAAGCTGTACGAATATCCATGTAACATTTCAAATGGTGGTTTATTTAAAATGTTACTTAAGTTGTTGTCAAGATTTTTTTTTCTTTTATTTTGGAATCACATCATAGAATTGGCGTGTTTCATAAGAACTTGGGGTGTGATGAATTCCTATATCTGCACAATATTGCTTAAATTGAAGAGAAGTAAAACAAGATCCTCTATCACTTATTTTACTTATTTCAGTAGCTCAAAACCTTTAACAAAATTTGTTACGGATTTTAAGGTACTTGGCATTTGTATTTTTAACAGCAAAAATTTTCATAAACCTTTTCAAGTCATCAATCACTTCCTGATTACCTCTTGAACACGACCCAAATAATCAATGTGCATAATGACAAAAGGTCTTTTACCAGGGTCATGGCATATGACCTGGTTATCATCTAATCCTAATATCAACTCTTCAAAGTAATTAGTTCAGAACAGTAACTTTCCATGAACTCTACGGTACGTTTTCATGCTGAACAAATTTTTGTTTAAATTAAAAATTTATAACTATTCATGTCTTCTTCAGATTTTTTATTCAAGTAACCGATTAATTTCATTGACAGCAGTTTTAACAATTGATGTATCTAATGTTCCTCTGGCAGTTTAATATGTTATGCTTGTTGTTCAAATAGACTAAATATGTACTAAATATATAAAATCTGTCAGCATTGCTTCCTTTACTTGTGCATTAAATTTTTCATTTCTGACTGAATGTTTCTTTTGATTAAATTTATAACCTCACAATCATTTTTTAAACTTCTGTTTTCTGCTTCTATATTCAACTTTTTGAGTTTAAATTCTCTTTAGCTAATCTCCCATTTAAAATTTTGTCCTACAGAAACTTGACAAGTTCTTCATAATTCTTACTTTTTAAAATATCTACCAACTATCAAAAAAGGGGGAAAGTTTTTTTTTTTTCTTCTTTTTGTTTCAATATGATAACATCAGTTATGTGGGGGGGGAGAGAAGTTAACATAGCTAAATTGATCGAGCCTTTAGCTCTGGCTCTAGCTGATGAAACAGACAGGCCATCTGTGAAAACTTCTAATTTACTTGAATGCAGTTTTTAGTGTGTCTGTCTGAAATATTTTGTAGAAGATTCCCGAGATAATCTTCTGAGAGGGCAGTGTCCGTATTTAATTTGAAATCACAGTTGGCACGAAAGCAGTTAAGAAAAGGAAAAAAAAAAAAAAAAACACTGAAGTGGAATAACCCATGTTATAATTAACCGAAAAATATTGACAAATTTTGCTGTATTTTTAAGCAGTTTGATTTAGAAAATATATACGTCTCACTGTGTAAATTACATCAACATTCAAAATTAAAGATTTTTTTTTTTTTCCCGTTGCATGAATTGTTCTTGTATTTCTGTAGGAATTAAGGGAAACCAAATATTAATGGCTTAATTTATTTTAATGATAATTTTATGTGCACTTAATTTATTTTTATGATGTAGAAATTTATTTTAAGCTGGTGATTTAACAGTATTTATGCATTCCATATTATGTGCAATAGTGGATGATCACTGCTGTCATCTTCCATATTTTCTTCTCCTTTTTATATTTCCAATGAAAATTTTGCTTTATTTGGGTGTTATGTAGTAGTACTTATTCCATTTTTCCGCATTAAACAAAAGTCGTTAATTCGGACACCCATAATTTGGAATAATCTATAATCCGGACCTCAAAACTAAAAACTTTCTGCGCATGCGCCGCGTTGACACATGCGCATAGGCGTTTACGCGTGCGCGTAAGACCTTTTACGACTGCGCATATGAGTGTGCGCAAGTGCAGAATATGTTTTCGCGTGCGCGTTTTATGTATAATGGACGTATAAGCTAAAATTATCTAATTATCTATTTCAGTTAATGTTGATGATTGCGTTGTTCCTTAATTTTCGAATTGGATCCGGCTTATTATTTTTTGCAGACTGTAAGAGCAATTTTATAAAAGTAAGCTTAACTTTCGATTATATCAAATAGAATTTCCTATATATATTTGTTACATGTAAAGGATCTAAAGCGAAAATATGTTTGAGATCCGAATCTGTTTATCAATTTCACGCTGCTCGGCGGGGGGAAATGCGCGGCGGGCCGCGTAATGAATTGGAAGTTGATCTGTCAGCACTATCCATATCTTCAGCGCAGATGTTTTATTTTATTTGGCTTATAATTCCTTACCAAATGTAGTATTTCATCTCCATATGCTCCGTCTTTGATATGATTTAAAACCAAGTTCCTCGTCATTATAATTCGCTTCCGATAGCGAAGAAAAGTGACAGAGGTTAATGAAAACGAAAACGATTGACAAATTAGTCGGTTTCTCGACACAGCAATTATAGGACTTGAAACAGCGGAACTTTGTAACTGAACAAGAAATTATGTCTGTTTAATAGAATTAAAGAGAAAGTATTATCACATGAAACGAAGCAAAACTTAAACAACTTACATTGAAAGAAATGTTTAATAAAGTAAACAAATAAATATTAAGCTTTTTCTTTCTGCAAATTTTGATACCCTTTAGATCATAATTGTTCTTTATTTCATAAATTACGGTTTCATATTTTTAATTTTAGAATTTCTGCATGCCATCTTACGAGATTTAAACTGATGATCTATAATCCGGAATCGCCGAAGTCCCGACGAGTCCGGATTAACGACTTTTGACTGTAGTAATTATTCCATTTTTCCGCATTAAACAAACTTGATTTTTTTACTTTTAATCAAAAGATAAGCAACTTTTGATCAAGAGATGACTGTATTTTACTTTAACTACATCATTATTTTATATTTTCTGAATGGAATAATACTTTGCTTTGTGAATCTGTGATAGATTTCTTTTATAATTGTATTTATTTACATTAAATTGTTTCAGTACAACCATATATGGAACTTAAGCCTAACAGTAGTAGTGACAGAGCTTGGGTTTGGAGTACGATGGCTGATTTTGCTGATGAAGAACCAAAACCAGAATTACTAGCTATAAAATTTGCAAATGCTGAAAGTAAGTTTTTGAAAATTTGCTTTCTGAGATTTTAAATTCATGTGATGTAAAATGAAAAGTTTTTTTGATGGATTTTATCTTAAAAGATGTTTTTATAGTGAAATTAATGTACTATTTATTATTGTAATTTAAAAAAGCTTTTAAAGGCTTAAGGCTTATCAGAGTTCTAAATAAATAAATTCCCACATATACTTAAGCCTTATTGAGGGCCAGTGCTAGATATCTTACCGCATGATGCAGTCTCTGTGGGTTCTAAATTCTGTGCCTTGGTGCAACCATACAAGCCCTGGTGCTGGTTCTGGGTGTATGTGAATAACAAATCAGTTATTCTTAATTCAAATAGCCCAAAATGTAATCTTTGGGTCTATGAGTATCATTAACAAAATCTATTTTTAGCATATGGAAAGAAATTTGGGGTAAATTTTTCCTCGTCAGCATTTTTTAACGCATTTAAGTTATATCTTTAATCATCGTCAAGCGTAACATCAACATAAAAGGTTACCATACTGCTTTATTATTTACTTACTAACATAAAAAAAATGTTTAGGCATCGCTACATGGGTCATTACTCAAGTTGTCATGTTTTGATAAATGTGCGGTGATGAAAGGAAAGTATAATAAATAATGATTCACCAGGTTGGCATCAGATCAGGGATGTGTCTTTGTGGAATGTTTCGGTTTCAGATGTGTGCCTAAGCAGATATGCAGCAATGGAGCCAAATTACAGATCGTACAAATTTATACTAAAATGATTGTTTTTCAGTAACAAGGTATTTTATTTAGTGTCAAAGTGAAATTAAGAATTAAGAATCAGGACTCGGCAGATGTTTTATTATGTGCAGAGGGGGGAATCAAATGTGCATGCGTAAAGAATTAAAGCAAGATGGTTTTGAGGTCCGGATTTCAGACTTTGTACTGCATATGTCATTGAAAGATCAGCCTATCTGCAATGGTACATAAAAGGGAGAGGGCGATTGTAAATTTTTAAAAAATCTTTTAATTTTTAATCCAGATGTATCGGTATGTTCTTAGTTCAACACTAATCTAGTTGTAATTTTATTACATTTCATTTTTTATGGTACCTGTTAGTGTGACATTTTTTAAAAATGTTTGAAGAAACTGAAGCATCTTATTATTACTAATTGTTACATGAACTTGGCCAGAAAATAATTTCTTCAGGAAAATATGGCTTGCAATTTGGTATATGAACGTAACTGATTTTCCTAAGAATTGGCAAATAATTGACTGGGGCATTTTCTCTATGAATGTTTTTTCCCCTTTATTTTCCCTTGAATTGCATACATTCTAAAATTGCTAAATACGTATTTTCACTAAAAAGAGTGCAGGTACATGATAAGCAGTGTTAGAATTGTTTCTTAGAGCAAATTGTTATTAATATGTTTTATTTTCTACAAAACTTTTAAGATTTAAAAATCTGAAAATTAGGTGGTGTACTTTGAAACAAGTGTGGTTTTAAATGACCAATACTGTTATCATTTGATGTGAATCCCTAAATGTACCTTTTACTTTTAATGCAAGATTTGATTCAAGAATTTAAATGTCTGAACTTCAAACAGAGGGTATTTATTGCTTGTTTTATTTCAGTAGTTAAAAGAGACATTACACTGAATTATAGGTGATCATTGCATTTAATTTTTGTCAAAATATTCTTGATAATCATAAATTCTCTTTTCAAAAGTTTTGTTTCTTAAATGTTTCTGACGTGCTTATCTTACTTATAGATGCTCAGAAATTCAAAGAGGCTTTCAATCAAGCTAAAGATATTTCTGCAAAATTTTTAAATGATAAACAAGCAATTGATTCTTCTAGTAAGTATTTGCTTAATTATCAGTTTGAAGTAATAAATTGTTCAAATGAATCATTATCTCTGTCAACTTAATAGTTTGTATAACCAGCACATAAGTTGTAAACTTTTAGAAGAGATACATCTAGACGATGGAATATCGTGGCAGTGCATGGTTGGAAACGGTTTCTTGGCACAGTAGTAATGACACAAAACACAAAAAAGGAAGGACACAAGCAGTGCAACAAAACATGCTTTATTGTGTTAAGTAAAGCAGGAACCAGCAAATAAGAAGAAAAATAGACAGTGATCGTTATTAAAGAAGGTGTTTTAAATTATTGCTCTGGACTGTGATGTAGGCCTCGTATCTCCAGCGCATGAAAGATCTGCATCGCGTGCAGAAGATGCTTGATGCACGGTTGCTGCATTATGCTCCAGGTTGTGATTTTGAACACCACCTTTGATGAGGATCATCTGTTTTTGTTCTTATTATTTATTTTCTGTTGCACTAAGCATAATAAACATTATTCTCACCCTGTCCGTGTCCTTCCTTGTGTTTTTCCATCGTCTAGGTGTACTCTATCTCTCCTGAAAGGTTTGTTATCAATAATGAGTAATATTTGTCACTTTTCATAAATTTGTTTAAAATGTACTGTTTCATTGTTGCCTCTTACTCTTCAGAAACAAATGTGAATGTGTCTAAATTAAATATCATTCTATGATAGAAATCTGGAATTTTGAGCTAAAAATAGTTTATAAATTGCTTAATTGGTATGGATAATATTTGTAATAAATTTTTAAGATCTTTTATATTTAATCTTTAACTATAATGCTATAATACCTTCGAAAAGTAATTTTTAGTACCTTTATAATACCTTCAAAAAGTAATTTTGGAAGGTTTTTCTTATTATTAACGGTTTAGGTCAGTGATGGTAAATTTCAGCCACATGTTAGAAATGTTTAACAGCTGCGCTGCCAGCTCTCCTGGTTTTTCATCACATCTTCCTGTAGATTATCAAATTTACTTGTTTTTATTTTTTAGCATTTAGTTAGGAAAATGTTTCCCAGTAACAAATTGAATTAATGTAAAAAGTGCTCAGATTCAGCCCCTAGTGATTTTCAGCATAATGTTTTCTTATCAAAATGAATTTAATCTGAATTGGCATATAATTTACTGTAGACATTTATAGTGTTTAATCACTTAATATTTATATTTAATTTTGTTTTATATCTATGGATGGTACATTTTTAAATAATTCTTCACAGTAGTGTGTGCCTTATTTATCAGTATTATTTTTATCATATTTAAAAGTATACTTGAATAAATAAAAGCTTTCCTTTCTGTATTCAGGAATTTCTCAGTATAAATGTGTAAGAAAATTACAGAGTGAAGTTAGTTAAAGAATGTAAAATTTGGAACATGTGATTGAATACTGATGTATTTTACATCGGAATCATATTTATATACCTCAGTAACTTGAATCATTCATTGTATAGCAAATTTAAGTCAATTTGGAGTTCTTTGGAAATTACGTTGTAGTGTAATGGGGAAAAAAAAACTTAGTTTTTCACTTAGCTTAGTTAGTAGTCAAAGTTTGCAGATATGCTTTTCTAGTCTAAGAAGTAAGAATGAATGTGTAAATAAATACATATATTTTGAGTAGCAAAATCCTTTTTTAAAAATATGACAGTTTTTGCTATACATTCTGTAAACGATGACTTTGTTCTCTTGAAAAATGTAGTCCCCTCAAAAATCAAAATTAGTTTATCCTGTGTAACCATAATGTTGGAAGTGACTGAGTTATCACTGATGTATTATCAATCTAAATGCGTAATGACGAAATATATATTTATATGCTATATTTAACCTCAATAACTCAGATATACTATATATAACCTAAGAAATGACTCATAATAATTATATATTTATCCCTGATGCAAATATTACTTTTGATTTACCACTTTTTATGAGGATATAATTTTCATGGGAAATATTTTGTTGCAAACATTTTTCATTGTATTGTTTTTTATGTGTTGAATGTTTTAAATATTTTTATTATTTTTAAAGGGTAAATTTTAAGAATAGTTGCTGATAAAGTTACTGTATTTTTAAGTAATCCTTTAATTTATAGCTTTTCAGTTTATGCTGTAAAAAATCCAGTAGTTAAAAAACTATTGTTTTCCAGAATCAATTTATTTTTACTCATAATCTATATTTTAAAATCTTTAGCAAAAGAAGAAAGTGATTCTGGAGAAGAAAGTGATGAAGACAAGCCAGAAGTTCAGACAGGCGCTGATAAAGATGATGCTAAGGAAGTATCTGACAAACTTTTGAATCTCACCGTAGAGGAAAAACACGAGAATACAGAAGAAAGTAAATTATCGAAGAATGAAAGTAATGAAAGTGATTCAAAATAATGTTGAATGTTCAACTTAACTGTGTTTTTAAGTAGAACATTGCTGCAATGTAAGAATTTTTCTAATAAGAAGCAAGAATTTTTCCTAATAATTTTTCAATTCTGTATTGTCCATTTATTTTGAAGGCAGTTTGCCTATCAAAGATTAGAACTACATATTTTTTTAACTTAATGATATTGGCCATACTTCATTTGTAGAAGTATGTATATGTATATTCAACAGTTTATATTGCTGAAGACTCGCCTTTATTTATCCATTACAACATTATTAAATCTGGTTTTAAACTGCTTTGCATCAATAATTGAAAAATAAATTTTGTGTGCCTCTGTTATCGCCCTTTTTGAGTGGTTCAGGTATGCAGTGCTTTCTGTTATGCTGTTTGTTCCTGTCTTCGTTTTCATAGCCTTAAGTAAGCAAATTTCTTTATCTTCTATGTATTGCATCTTGCATTTATTAGAACTTGTGTAAAATAATTGTACCTTCATTATCAGATGAGAAGCTTATTATTTATGACTTAAAAATGCCTAATTTAATGAATTTGTGAATTAATAAATGTGATCATTTTGCTGTAAATTTTCATCATCAATAAAATATTGTTTTAAAAATCTCTTACAATTTTTGAATTATCAGAAAATAAAGCATAATTAAAAAATTGTTTTCGTACAACAAAGACTAAGTATTTCTCAGTTACATTGAATTTTAGATGTATGTCCATTTTTGATTATATATTTTATACCATGTACACAGGTGTAAATAAAATGTGAAGAATTTCCATGGATAATCCCTTTAATTAGAATTTGGGACCAAATATTAATTGAAAGCAAGAGAAAATGCAGCAAGTGAAACATAAAATTAGTAACACAACAACCTTGAGTTTGGCATAGATTTAAGTCAAGATCTCGATAGATTTCATGGGTAAGCAGGCAAGACTGGAAAGCAGTGGGTGTAACAGTCGTATTTATACTCTACAGTAAAGCAAAACGAGAGAGTAGTGCCATCTATTGGTAAAAATATTAATTACATTCAAAAATTAAGATAAAAATAGAAATTTAAAAGCATTAGGAAGGACTGGATTGGACTTCATCTTATCTAGTGAATCTTTGTGAAGCAGTGGTTCTGAGAAATTGAGAGCATGAAATACATAATAATAAAAATAATTGCATGGAGTAACATATGTATTAAAGTTCAATCATCACATTGCTGCTGCTGAATATATTATACCTCTTTTATTTATTTCACAAATGGAGGAAAGTTCTTTCAGAAGAATCTGAGTTCAATATATTTGGTTATGGTAAAGCACTTGAGGGAGTGCTTTGCCATAACCAAATACCTAAATAACCTAAGGGGAGGGATGTGTTCATGGAAGAATTCTGTAGAGGACTTTCTAAGGGAACCTGGCTGACATACACATTACACAAGGGAAAACCACGGAAACATCCATACAATTAGCTTGTTTGTGAAATTTGGACCAAACAACCAGTGTTCAGTGACTACCGCTTGGCTGCTGGTGGGCCTCAGGAGAATCTGGGACCAAATGTTTTCATACTGCAGAATAAAGTATACATTAATTTAACCATTACATAGTTGCAATTAAATATAGTGTATATCTTTTATTTATATCTAAAATGTATAAAATAAATTACAGGTTTTGTTGATTAGCCTCTTGATTGGCAAGACCACATTTAATCAGTTCATGACATTTTATCTCTGGCCGTATATTAGTTGATAATTTAAAATATTTTGTTTGCTTACTTTCTTTAATAGTGTAAATATCTTAATGAATATTTTTGAAAACGGACTAAAATATGTAACTATACAAATGTAGATATTAAGATTTCAATACAGGTCTTCATGAGCAGATCCAAAATCCTGTGCCGCTCAGAGGGTTAAGTGATATATGAATTATAATAAGGCATGTTATGAACAGGAATATGTTTAAATATGCCAAATGAATTTTAAAATCTATTTCATGTTTTAATAACATTTAAAGAAAAAATTATGTAAAATATGTTTTGTAAAATATTTTGTGTTCAACTTTGTATTGTTATGATATGTATCACATTTTTAAATAAATGTTTCACATGAACGCCTATTAAGTTTAATGACTTTTGAAATGTTTTACTAAATGTATGTAAAATTTATAAAACTTTAGACAAGAGTTTTTGAATATGTAGAAACCTGAGCAAACATTCACAAGAATCAAGTGACAGTCATGTACTCATTTTTAAAAATAGATACTGATGTGTGATGAAGAACTTTGAAGACTTCAGAAGGGGGGTAATGTTCTTCATTTAATCCATCTTAAAGAGTGTCAAAAAATTATTTATCTTTCATTTTAGTTGACTGAGCAATAAAATTCACACTCTTAATTTTTCATACGATCCTCCTGTTTTTAATTTATCTGTATTTATTTAGTATCATTAAAATGTAATTTTAAGAAAATTGATCATTAAGTATTAAAGGAGAAGTAAATGTGATAAAAAATGTTGATGATAAGTTTTTAAGAAAAAAAGTAAACCAATCCCTTAGTTCCTTGTCTTATGAATTAAATTCCAGTGGTGCTTGCCACGATCAACATGTTGGTCACATTTCACCCAATTTAAGTTTCAGCCAAGCTATCAAAACTGTGCCAGTTGACACACCTCTAATGATTTACTCATGTAAGGTAGAACTGGCTTAATTTTTTTGAAATGTTTGAAAACTAGCAAACTATCCATTGGTGAAAAAAATTTGTATGGAAATAAGTAAATGCTTATGTAAAGTTGTCATAATTTTGAAAATGCTAGCAGAAAATTAATAATCATCGATTGGGCATCTGTTAATTCTACCTAACTGATGCAAGTTTTCCACTTTTATGGCAAAAGTCTCCATTTAATTTTTGGTTTTAGTTTTTCCTTTTTCCAAAGCCATTATTCTGATAGTAGATTCCCCCCACCACCACCATCAGTATAATCTTCAGTACCTGTTAACATAAAAAATTTTTGTACAGAAAAAAAAGGTTGTGCGGATTTCAGGACAGAAAAGATAAATCATAGCATTCAGACTAAAAGTGCAAAATAAATAAGGCGTATTAGATACAGTTAATTAAATTATTATATACATTATTGCAATAACTTATTATATGCGTTAAATTATTATTACATATATAAATTGATTATATTATTCATTGTATTATATATACACAGCATCGAGGTTTGCCAATATCGCCTCATGTAAAGATTTCGGTGTTAGAATCACTGTTTCTGTTCAACAGCTTTTCTTTATTTTTCTGTATGTCATACACAATCGTATTGCAATTCCATATGATTCTGCTATAAAATGAACCTCTCTCCATCTTTTGCACTTTTTGCATTACCATCAATGCAACGTGTTTACGTTTTTCAACGATGCAAGCAGTAAAATCATGAGTGCGTTTCTTATCTGTAATTATATTAAAAAGGGCTGAAATTTAAAATATTCTTAATTTATCCACAAAATATCCGGATAAAAAAAAGGCAGCACTAAATAACCTCGTGAAATAACAAAGAAAATACAACAATGTGAATCGTTAACTTGAAGAGTGAATCGTCTGCTTCCTTAGCTCGATGCAGATTAGAGTGGAAAAAAAATTTAATATTATGTCAATAATTTGGTATTTCCGTTATGACTCATTATTATTCGGTAATTATGATGTCATTATTCGGTAAGTATTTTTTCTTCAATATTTTGTACTCGATGTTGCGGTTTCCGGAACCTATAAACTATATGTTTATATTTTGAGAGGCAACGCGGATTTTCGGTATTTGACTGTACTCTTTTTTTTATGTTTGTGCATTTTCTGTTTTATTTTGTGCAAAATAGCTGATTGATTATTCTTTCTTACTGGCTTTGTATTCTGAAAGCTTATCCCAAACATATAGGGTGATTAAACATAGAATATTGAGCTTATCTGTGAATGCAAACAGAGAATTTACTTCCGAATACACCTGTATTCTTTTTTAAATGAATGTGAATTGTCTGTAAATTTGCCTTTACAGTTTCATCAAATACTGAATTGAAAACAATTCTGCAATTTTTAATCAGAAATTGGTGATATATTTAGACCTGGTATTTCTATACTAGATTTTTTTTTACTCCTGTTTCCTTGCCTGCTGTGCAAATAGCAGTCTGTTCTTAGGGACAGAAATTTTTCATCAAGACTCTCACAATTCTGTAGATGTTTAAAATTAACAGTAGTAACAACTGTACACTACAAAGTCCGAAATCGGGACTTCGGCGATTTCAGATTTGGGATTTTTCCGGATAGTAGATCATCAATTTAAATCTGCTAAGATGGCATGCAGAAATTGTACAATTAAAAATATGAAATTGTAATTTATGAAATAAAGAACAATTATGATATAAAGGGTGTCAAAATTTACAAAAAAAGCTTAATATTTATTTGTTTACTTTATTAAGCATTTCTTTCAATGTAAGTTGTTTAAGATGCTTCCACAAAAAGTTCCTTTTTCTTGTGTCATTTACAATATACAGTGGACTTTCCAATGCCATATTCCTCGCATAATTTTGAGACGAATATGCCTTTATCCGTTTTTGCAGCATTTCACTTTTTGGTTTAATGGACATCGAAACATGGTTTCACTTTGTAGGTCCTTTGGCAACTCCAGAATTGGAAACTATTTTGGCATAATAGAAAGCTCAAGCTTATTTTTTATAAAATTGCCGTAATAATAACAGCTTGCAAAAAATAAGCTGGATCAAATTAGAAGATCAGGGAACAGCGCAGTCTGCTACATTAGTTGAAATGCCTTAGAAATCGGTAAAGATAATTTTAGTCTAGCCTAAAAGCATCCGTTAAACTTTATTGGCTGTGTATCACAAGATTGCCGATGAAAGCCAAGTTGTTTCGCTAAATTTTGTCTTGCTCCTATTGTGTACTGAATTAAGCCTGAATTGTATTAGTTTAGTACAGTACATCTTAGATCATTTAAAAATCTATAATCATCGCCAAGCGTAATATTAGTATAGAAGGTTGCCATACTCTTTTTTTTTTTTTTTTTCAATTTTGTCTTGCTCCTATTGTGTACTGAATTAAGCCTGAATTGTATTAGTTTAGTACAGTACATCTTAGATCATTTAAAAATCTATAATCATCGCCAAGCGTAATGTTAGCATAAAAGGTTGCCATAACTCTTGTTTTCAATTACTTTATAAAAAAAAAGTTTAAACTCACAGCAGATACTATGAGGTCATGTATTGATACATGCGGTATGAAAGCAAAAAATCAAATAATGACTCGCCGTCGGCGTCGGGATTATAAAATGGAAGTTTCGGTTTGAGAACGGCGGAAAATGGAATGGAAATGGTTTGAGATGTGTGCCAAGTAGATACTCAGCTATAGAGCGAAATTATTAATCTCACAAATTTATGCTTACATGATTGTTTTTTCATAATGAGGTATTTTATTTTAGTACCTAAGTGAAATTAAGAATCGGAATTTTAAGTGAAAATCTCCACATGTTTTATTATGGAAGGAAAAATCAAATGTGTATTCTTTTTTAAATGAATGGGAATCGTCTGTAAATTTGCTTTTACAGTTTCATCAAGTACTGAATTGAAAACAATTCTGCAATTTTTAATCAGCAATTGGTGATATATTTAGAACTGTGCCTTTGAGGTCCGGATTTTAGATCATTCTGGATAATTGACGTCCAGATTTTGGACTTTATATTGTGTTTCCTTTCTGTGGTGTTTGAAGAAATGGCTGCCTATTCTTTTAACATGCTCAAATTTTAAGATACTATGTAATTACATAAAAAAAAAAAAAAAAAAAACGCGACTGCTGCACAGCATAGATCATCAGAATGTTGTAGTGTTTTTAAAAAGTATATTAATAAATATATCCCAGCTATTTTTCATTAAAAAAGTAAATGGCATTATCATTCCATTCGAACTAACGGACATAATTTTATTTTGGAGAACATTTAATTTTTCATTTTTATTTACCTTTTTATATCTCAAAGGGAGGATTTAACCCTTTATGTCCCAAATTATTTTACTTTTTGAAAAAGAGTATAACTTTTTTATTATATTCCTTTATGCATAAGAAACATCTCTCATTAAATTATAAGTTTTTCGCTGCTTTTCTTTAAATATAAAACTGGGGCTTCAAATTCCCTTTGAGGCATAATTGAGCAATTTTATTGATAGGACTTTAAAGTCCCGTAGGGAAATAAAGGTTTCAGATGTCACCATGATGCAATTAAGTCATCAAAATGTCTTAGGAGAAGCTATATTTCTAATTTAATTCAATCATCTTAAGTTGCATTTATGTTATTACCATCTTTTGTCAACTACGAAATATAGTGAATGTTTTTCATCTCATTAGTTGTTGATGGCGAGTCTGTATAGTTGAATAGGTTTTATAATGCAGTAGTCTCAAACTGGTGGCACATGGATATATTTCACCTAGGTTTTTATTGTAAACAGGGTTGCCACGCTACCTGGAAAACCGGAAAAAGTAAAGGAGTTCGAAAATTGACCAAGAAAGTCAGAGAATTTAAATATTTTGGTCAAAATCTGGAAAAGTCGGGGAATGTCAAACGGCGATCCCAAAAAAAGCAAGTTTTGCGCCAACTTTGGAAGCGATCACTTTGTTGGCGAATTATGTGTCGGATGAGCGTCATTTGGGCAGCTGCAGTAGAGCCAATTTTCGCAGCTCCAATCAGATTGTCTTTTAGAAAAGCAAGTTTCCAGCAATTTCGGTTTCCAGTAACCTCGAGAATCCTAAGACTCGCATGTGAAGTGCATATTGAACTAAAATACCTTCCCATTCTCGTATACAACAAAATCGGTTTAATCCTAATATACGGTACCATGGAGTCTAGAATAGCCTTCATGTACTCTGTTCTAATGTAGGAACGTCTATGTAAAGAAAGAAGGGTTCCATAGACGTTATTAAACGTTAGCCTGCATGACTGATTACTATTTTTTTAATTTACTGCTAAATTAAAAATAAGGCATTTATTAAAATGAAAAAAAAAAAAAAGTTTAAAGATTTGCGGTAAAATCCTAGTCTTCGCTAGGGCATGGTACAATTTGAAACCTGTGCCAACACCTTCTTAGTATCCGCCTCGTACAAAGACGATTTTCGTCAAATTTCGATTTTACTTATTACTTATCTTAAAGATACATCTTAGCTATCAATACAAGTTTTGCTTGTAAAGGTTAATTGAATGAAGTTATAGCATTTTCTGAACTGAATAAACCGAATTCAAGATTCTGGCCGGATTAGCGTTTAAATAGATTCCGATTAGAAACTTTATTCTTAATTTTGTAATTATAAACTACGTACTAAGTTTAGATATTTTGTAATACATTTAAAGAATCTGGTGTTATTTTTTCCCTTAATTTCGTATTTAGTTTGGCGCAGAGGGTATTCGACGTTGAATGGATGTGTTGCTGCTTTGTCGATTAGCGTTGACAAAGTGCTTCATTTGAAAGCTATGTCACATTTTTGCATCAATTGCAACAAAATAAACAAAATGGAATGCAATCTTCAGCATGACATATGTAAAGCGTAACATATTTGTTCTGCAAATTATAAAGAAGCAGCTTCGGGTATGGAAGCAGTTGGTTCTTATCCGCTGTTTGAATGATCTATTACATTACGAAAGATGAAGTACACAGAGTATTATGAGGATGGGGATTCTAAAGAGTTTTTAATTATGAAAGATATATAGGGTAAAGATTCGGTTAAGAAACTGGAATGCATTGGACATGTACAAAAGGGTTGGTAGTAGACTCGAAAAGTAAAAAACTCCGCTTGAATTGAAAGGAAAAGGTAACTGACTGATTCTTTTATTGATAACTGCAGAATTAGGGATTGCATTAGAAGTCATGTTTGAACTTAATTGAGATGCAGCAGTTGTACTAACTGCTTGTTCCATGTAGCTCTTCTTCGAAGCCAATGCCCTCCTCAATATCAATGGTTGGTGCAATTATGAATGTGTGATTGCAGAAATCAGGAAAAAAAATCAGAAAGAAAAACATTATGCAAAAACCTCTGGTATATCAATAATATATTGAATTTAATTAACCTACATATATGGAGTTGACTACGTAAACAAGAGTTATTAAAAAGTGTCTACATGGCAAAAACTCAAAATATCAAGGAACGTTTTAATGGTATTTTATTGCAAATTGTTCCGAAATAAACATTCATAAACTTGCGAATATTAATGTTTGGAGCAAATTAAGTGTTGGGTTATTTAATGTTGTTTAATGATGGATTTATAGGTTTGCTTGAAGCATTTCAAGGTTAGGTATGTGCCCTGAATTTTACACTGAGCAGGTAATTCGAAAATTTGATAAAGTGCAAAATCATGACTTTTGGTGGCATTCCGCAAGTTTTACAAAATCCCAAAGAAAAAATTACGCTTTGTTCGAAAGAAAAGGTGCAAAGAGTGAGAAGAAAAACAAGGTGTTAAGTTACAAAGAAGGGGAATTGTAATTATCATGAATGCTTCTTTCACTAAGAAATTGTTTTACGAAAACTTTGAACTTGTTTTCTGAAAAACGTTTTGTCTGTAAATATTGCCAATGGTAACAGCCATAACTCAAAATTTTATGGATAACATTTAATGATACTTTTTATACATGTTTCATATAATCTGATGCATGCTCTGAAGCAAAAGATTTTGAAATATTAATTAGAAAGAATTGTTTACTTTTTATTTTTAGATTTTGGATGCAATAGGAAAATATACAGTAAATACTATACATGTTTGACATTCTCAAGAATATATGAATATTTCTAATTATTTGCTTCATTGCATCAAAACAAGTGTAAATATAAATACAAATTAAAAAAACTGCATATTTATGTATACATTGTTCGCCATGGTTGTTGCCGTAAAGGCAAAATTTAAGCAAAAATTATCCCTTTTTTCATTATTTTTCAAAATTAAAATTATTTAGCATTAAGTTTGAAATTGTTTTCACTCATTAATATGCTTGTCTTCAAATTAATATGTTTATAGTTAAAATAAAAACCATTTTTAAAAAAATGGTACCCGAACGAGGTCGGATACCTTAAACCGAGACTAAGAGGCAGAGAGAGGTAACTGTTGTTACTGCTCATCATAATGTAAATCAGTTTGCTATAGCGCCGCTAGAAAGCGGAGGGACAAATTCGCCAAGGGATTTGGCGACGGAACCTGACAGTGAGAATTTCCCATTCCGCGATGTGTACAGGAAATTGTAGAGCATGTGTTAAGAAGAAACGTTGACTTTCCCCAGAGTCGTAGCTAGGGTTTTCAGCGCCCAGGGACAACTGAAGATTTCGCGCCCCCTATTGCTTTCAAGGATGGAAAACAATTAATTTTAAAATGTCGTAACATCAGTTTGGCGCCCCTTGGATTCTGCGCCCGGGGACAGATGCCCCCCTCCATCTACGCCCCTGACTTTCACGATAATTTAAACTCGGATTTTAGTACATTTTTTGCTTAAAATAACTAATCTATTAATAAATTTACTCGCGCGAAAAAATATTTTATTTTCCTTTAAAGTTTAAAGAAATTTAAAACGATATTCGTTTTATGTACTCTTGATAAACTTGACCTTCGAACTTCGCGAGCTTTGGCGACAGATATTTCGCGCATACGCAGCTGTTTCTCTCTACGTTGGGACGGAGCCATTCCTGTTGCAAAGAAGTTTTTTTTTATCTTAATACATATTTTTTATTCTAACCTCCATGTCTGGTACACACGGTATTTGGCGACATTACTAAGAGATAACTAACGACTAAGAGACAGATAGGCACAATTTTGAAAACTGCCGCCAACACCTTCTTAAACAGAGACAGAGAGGTAACAACAGTTACCTCTCTCTGTCTCTTAGCTGTCTCAAGTCTGTAGCGAAGACTAGGATTTTACCGCAAAATCTTTTAAACTTTTTTTATAGTTTTAATAAATGCCTTATTTTTTATTTTGCAGTAAAATAAAAATTAGTAATCAGTCATCCAGGCTAACGTTTAATATGACTATATTCGCCAAAATATCATTGATTATTGTAATTCAATTTTTAAGTAATTAACTTCATTTTAATGTTATTTATATCATTTAATGTTCTTCTTTCCTCTAAATTTATTTATTATTAGTTAATAACACTTTCAAATTTCAGGCGAATTTCTCTGGTATAATTCTGAAACAAAATCTAGCAGTATGATGACATACTATCACGAAATTGAATGCACATATTTTTGCTTATGTCTGCTGCTAAATAAATATAAAATACCTGAATTTATTTAAAAATGTCATTACGAGTAAATAGATTTCTTTCTTTTGGTTAGCTGCAAAAAAACTAATTTTTTAATCCAAATTGGGCAGATTCTAATCTCAATCTTCAGTGGAGAAAACAACTCCTATTATAGCTATAATAGTAATGCTTTTTCGATTATACGTATAATAAGTCATATGCAATAGGCAAATTTTTATGTTTTCAAGTGGTACAATAATTCATTTACCTCTCAGCGCAGCCAATGCGCACTATGCGGATAGACTGGAATTTTCTCAAAACACACCTGGAAAAGTCAGGGAATTTCCTTCTCCTGGCAACCCTGTGTAAATATGGTGTTACAAAAACTTCAAGATTTCAATTATTAGTTATTTGTATTCAGAGTTTACACTGTTTTCATTGCCATTAAAAACAAACATGAATAGTCCATAAAAGAATCTGTAAATACAGCTAATTAATTTACAATGCAATATAAATCTTTTGCAAAGATTTGAAGGTATAGATTTTATAAATTGTTCTTTGTACTTGTCAAAAATTAATAAATTATGAAAATTTGCTTTAAGAATGACCGTTGTTTGGGAGTATATTTATATATGCACAGCCTTTTTCACAGTTGAAAATTCATAACACATTGAACAATCCATGATAAAGATAATTTATAGTAATTTTCTATCCAAGGCTATAAATTTTATCAGAACTGAAATGCTGTAAATTTGTAGTAATGAATAAAGAAGTGACATAGACTAGGTTATTATTGTTTATTATGAAGTTTTGCTCCATTTGGTAAATTTTCTCTGAAAACTTGGAAAGTTTCATAATTTTTAATATAAATAAGTTATAATAATTAAACAATTTTGAATTATTTGAAAGAAATGTCGACATATATAATTTAATATTTAGCTGTCAGTATACATAAATTACAAAGTGTAACCGAAAAAATATCATTTTTCTAAAGTTTATTGCGTCATTTAAGGAGTTCTGTTTTTTTTTTTTTTTTTTTTATTTATTTTTTTATGGTAAATATAAATGAAGCAGTACAAAAACTTTCGTTTAATCACATAAACATTTTATCCTGTGACTTTTGCCACCTTTCAGGCAATAGGAGAAGTCGTTATTAAGTTTATTCATAAAGACGTATCAATATGCTTTTTTTTCACCATCTCCAAAATGTGACGCTGACAGGTTTAAGACGAGTTTAGTACATTTAAATATTAGTTTACCTTTCGTTTTCTTTTTAAATGGCAGAATATCATTAAATATTTTGCTTCCAATGCATTTAATGGTTTTTGTTGCACAAACTCTACAATTATGATTTTCCTTCACAACGTTAGGTTTGTGAACAGGCGGTTGACATATGGCTACTATTGTTGGCTAGAGCTCATCCCAGTTTCACGCATACTCTGGCAATTAGAATTTTAAACGAACTTGCTGGAGAATTTTGAATTAAATTGTGCAGTTAACACTTAAATATCTTGTACATTTAATGAAAGAAAAATATTTAAATGGAAATAGAAAAATATCGCGCTTCCTTTCCTTTTTTAAACTTTTCATGATCATTGGGAGTACGTTTAAACTCTTAATAGAATGAATGCAAATGAAAGATGTTAACCACATCTGATAACCTAAGAGCACAAATATTTCAGGGAGATTTAATTTTACTTTAATTACAAGCACATTGCTTTAGAAATATTAGTTTTCTAAATGCAGAAATTGATGACATTTCAGTTTATAAGAATAGGCAATCGTTTAGTAGCACTAGAAATTAAAATATAACATACTTACATTTTTTATATGAAAAGAGCACATTTGCCTTTTTTACATGAAAATTACTTCATTTTTGCGTTTTGCTGTGAATTGTGAATATAATTTCTTGTGTAATCCATAAAATTTTAATTTTCAATAAATGAATTTAACTGGCGAGCCTTTATCTTCTAACTCATACGTATACTAATATTTAGAGAATGATCAGATTGTAAGAACCGTTACTATTACTCGAATTCCTTTACACATAATCCCCCCACCATACATAAACAAGCAAGCCAAGAGAAAAAAGAACTGTTAAAAATATACTTGATTCTTATTATTAAAAAGTTAATGAAAAATTTATAAACTAAGTTGATTTTATTATATGGTTGACCGCCTTTCAAACTATTCAATTCTATATACAATATATTTGGAAACATTTTTAAAATATTAATTTCCCAACACTGCTATAAATGTCAATTTATATTAAAAACAAACTTATGCGTATAATAACTGTTTAATCTTATTATGCTCTTTTATTGAATTACTTAATGAAAAAATTTCATAATAAAATTAACCGAGTGTGACACTTTCATTAGCAGACTACAAAACATCAGATAAAAAACTTTGCCTGTCTTCGAGTGTCACAGGATTTTTTTCCCTCTTCAATACTGTTGGCTAAAGGCAGACTTCGCTGGCGTCTCCATTTGGACGACTTTTCGCTGGCGACGTACGATTTGTTCTCCCATTCATGTCACACCCCTTATTTAAATCTCAATGCCGTTTGGACTCTGTAATGCGCCGGCAACATTCGAACACCTCATGGAGATTGTTTTGAAAGATCTTTCCTACGAAGCCTGTCTGATATACCTGGATGACATCATTATCGTCGGAAAGAATTTTGAAGAACATCTATAAAATCTAGAAAGGTGCTCCAAATATTGAAAGAAGCCAATCTACAGCTGAGTCCCGTTAAATGCAAATTATTCGATAGGAAGTGATTTACCTGGGACATGTCATCTCTGCTGAAGATGGCACGGATTCTGAAAAGGTATCAGCCGTTAGAGCCTGGAAGCGTCCCGAAAATGTCCATCAACTGAGAAGCTTTTCACCTACTATAGGAGATTCGTGAAGGATCTTTCTTCCGTCGCGAGACCCCTTCACAAACTGACAGACAGAAAGGAAACAAACGTTCTTGTGGAAAATGAATGTGAGTTTGCATATAGTAACTTGAAGGAAGCTTTAACATCGTCTCCAATCCTGACGTATCCTCAGCTCGACGAAACATTTATTCTCGAAAGTGACGCGAGCAATGAAAATGTCGATGCTGTTTTGTCTTGAGAAATAGACGGCTAAGAACGGGTAGTGGCTTATTGGAGCAAGTGCCTGTCTAAACCGGAGGGGAATTACTGTGTCACCAGGAAAGAGTTGTTCACCATAGTCAAAGCCGTAGAACATTTCCATCATTATCCATATGGCATAAAATTCCTGCTCCGCACATATCATGCATCATTGACCTGGCTTTTAAATTTCAAGAATCCTGAGGGTCAAATAACCAGGTGGATACAGAGACTCCAGGAATATGATATCACTATCCGTCATCGGAAAACATCATCACACGGAAACACCAACGCCCTGTCTAGATTTTGTTCAGAAAGCTGCCGATAGTATTCCAGGGTCGGATCGAAATACGAGCTACTGAGTCCGTTCGCACGACAAATTATGACATCAACATCGGCTGATCGAAACCCATGGAGTGACAAAGAATTTAGGAAAGACCAGCTGGAAGACGGCGGCATTAAGCCAATAATTGAATTGATGGAATTTTCAAACAGGAAATCTACCTGACAGGACATTTAGAGCTATAGTCCTACAACAAAATAATATTGGACATTCTGGGAATCACTCCACATTCGAAACGGCGTTTTGTATCGGAAATTCGAATCGGATGATGGAAAGACATGTCTATGGCAACTGATACTTCCAAGATCCCGGATTCTGAATGTCCTTAAAGAACTACATAACAGCCCTACAAGAGGCCACTTCGGAACAATGAAGACCTGTCAGAGTTCGTGAGCGCTTCTACTGGAGTAATGCAAAGGAAAATGTGCAAAAGTGGTGCCGATCTTGCAATGCCTGTGCGGGTCAGAAAGGATCGAAGAAACATAACCGAGGGAAGCTACAACGTTACAACGTAGGAGCGCCTCTTAAACGTATCGCATTTACATCTTGAGACCTCTGCCACGAACTGCTGATGGCAACAAATACATCCTCGTTGTCATCACTTTACCAAGTGGCCTGAAGCGTATCCTATTCCTGATCAAGAGGCTGTCACAACTCTGTGGGGCAGGAGTTCCCGACCTGAGGTACTGTGTAAGAGGTTGTCACAGTAGCAGAAGTGCTGATACAGCACTGGATTCCAAGTTCGAAGTGCCTCTTCAGTTACCTTCCGATCAGGGAAGGAATTTTACTTCGGCTGTAAACAAAGAACTCTGCAAGTTACTCGGCATTGACAAAACTCAAACGACACCTTTACATCCCCAGTCGGACGGCATGGTAGATAGGTTCAATCGAACCATCCTTAACAACCTCTCATTAGTTGACCTCTCCTGTTGGTTTCCAGAAACCAACAGGACTGGGACAAGAAGTTACAACTGTTATTACTGGCTTTCTGCAGTGCTGTCCACGAGACTACCGGCTATTCCCCATCACAGATGCTCTTCGGTCATGACCTTCATCTGCCTTGTGATCTTTTGTGCGGTCGCCCTCTGGATGCGCCTTCATCGCTTGAGGAATACATTTAAAATCTTCAAGCCCGGTTTAAAGGGATGCACAACTTTACACGAGAGCTCATACAAGAGACTCACCTTACACCAGCACTCAAAGTACTATATGCTAATTATAACACTTACCGTACAGATCGGGAAACAGGAAGAGGCAGTGGCATTATCACATATGTTAAAAGGAGCATAAAACACTCTCAAATTCCAAATCCTTTCACCACTTTCGAAAGTAACACAATAGAAATTGCAAGATAACATAAAAAATTCAAAATTTCTAATATATACATCCTACCAAATAATAATCCCAGCGCACAAGAACTGATTCACCTCCTTAATTCTAATACTTCTACCATTGTCGGAGGGGACTTTAACGCCAAACACCCCTGCTGGATCCGGGGACGTGCAAACAAGAAAGGAAATGACATATTTAACCTCCTTCAATCAAAAAAATATAACATTCATGTCCCGGACGAGTCCACCCATTATGAGTACAATAGCGCCACCACAATTGACTTCGTCATCTCAAACAACATTACTAACAGATGCAAATTTCTGTAATTTCAGCCCTCTCTTTCGACCACAACCCCATTGTATTTAAAATCCTCATTAATAAATACCTCCTCTCACTTGACAGAAGTATAGGAGTTACAAATTGGATCAAATACTCAGAATTTCTGAATAACTGCTACAAGGAACCCATGCTCAACAAAAGAAGAGATATAACAAGAAGTCTCAAATTTACCAACTGCATCATTCTGCTTAAGGGAAGCTACAATATTTTTTACGTGAGCAAGCCTTTCTCCCTGCCTGCGATAAGAAATTATTAAGAAGAAACGGATCCGTAAAAGATGGCAAACCACCAGGATCCACAACTCAACGCGAACTATTGCAAAAAAATCAACAGAAGAATCAAGAACTTCAAAACCAAAAATGGACCAATTTCCTAAATAACATAGCTATAGAGGATAATTCATTATTTGATATTTCCCGCAAATTTCTGAAACCTTATAAACCTATCCCACCTATCCAAGGACCTAGCTGAATTTCATATACAGAAGAAAATAAAGCTAAATCTTTTGCGGACGATATGAAAGATACATTCACTCTTAATCCCACTCCGTACGAAAATAATCATATTCAACGGGTCAGCCTGATGGCCAATAACGTCTTAGTACTCCTGCTCCGTACAACTTCACTTTCCTGACAACCCCAACAATCGTAGCCAACACCATCAGCTCCTTACAGACTAAGAAAGCCCCAGGGCACGATGGCATCTCGACCAAAGCACTGAAACATCTCCCCATCAACGCTCTCACCTGCCTAACTAAGATCATCAATAACATTATCAAATTCGCTCATTTTCCTAGCCCATGGAAGCAAGCGATAATAATAGTTTTTGCTAAACCGCAACAAAATCTCACCTTCCCTCAGAACTATCGCCCTGTCAGTTTACTAAGTCATTTTTCTAAAGTTACTGAGAAAATTCTACTTTTCCACATCCAACGAATTCACCTTTCCATGATTTTTTCCCAGAACAATTCGGTTTTCGCAATCATCATATCACTTGCCACCAACTTCTAAGAGTTATCAACATTATCGTTGAAGTCTACAGCTACAAGCTTCCGACCGGTGCCATAACGGCAGCTATCACAAATTTCAAACATAAATTGACAGCGTTATTTCCTTTTGCGCATGCGCTTGGTGTCACAATTTCACCAAGAGCTGATAAATCGCCATATTTAGTCGCGGGTTGCGTTTCCTAGGGAGGAAGTAAAAATACGCCTCCGGGAACGACTGAACCAAAGAGCCGGGAGCTGTGCTCTGTGCGTCGAGTGCATCGCGAGTTGTAGCATGGAGAGTCTCGAGAGTACGTGGAGTTCCGAGAACGACCAAGCAGGGTCGGGAGCTGTACTTTGGTGCTTTGCAGTGAAGCTGTCTTCACCGTTATAGCCTGATAACCTGAAGGCTATGTCGCTGATTGTTCCAGCAAGTGTATAGTAGATCTTCGAAGAATGTAAAAAGTGACTTTGGAGCTGTTCTGACAATACAATACTGGCTAATAAAGTGTGTTTCGATTCTTCATCAAGTAGTGTCATCATTATTCACTACAAATCCATACAAACCCCGTACGAACGTGAAGGAAGAAAATAACATAACAACTGGTGTCAGAAAAGAGAAAAACGCAACAAATACTTTAAGAGGAAATTATCGGAGTTCAAAAATAGTAAACCAGTAATGGAAGGTTTTGTTACTTCAAATGAAAAAAGCTTTGGAAACTAGTTACCTACTAAACCTAAGAATTGCCAAAACGGGGCAGGCCCACACACTATTAGAGAAAATCTTATGATACCAGTTAAAGATATTGTTTTAATATTATTCAACGTAAACGCACCTAAGGAACTTAATGATATTCCGTTATCATATGCTACAGTAAGTCGATGAATTCATGGAATGGCAAAAAAAAAAAAAAAAAAAAGTGATTATTTTGCATTGCAATTGGATGATAATACTCGTATAACGAACTTTGTTCAATTATTAGTTTGCATACATTTCGAAGGAGATAAACGAATTGCTGAAGAGTATTTATTTTGGGAATCGCTTCATGATACAGCAACTTCAACTGAAATTTTCAAAGTAATTCACAATTTTATGTCTCAGAAAGATATTACTTGGCATACGTGCATTGCCGTGTGCAGTGACGGAGCTCATTCTTTTACAAGAAAACATTCCGCTGTTATTTCTCAACAAAAGAAAATCGCATCTGAAACTAAATTTACTCCCTGCTGTATACATCGTGAAACTTCAGTAGCCAAAACCATCCTCGAAAACCTGAAAATCGTTTTGAATCAAGCTATGAAAATCGCTATTCTTATTAAAAGCCGAGCTTTAAATTGAACAATATTTAAGATTTGCGATGCGCAGTGAACATGAAACGCTTTTGTTACATTCCGAAGTAAAGTTTTAGGCAATCCAAAGGCAAAATTTTAAATCGTCTTTTTAAACTTCTATCAGAAATTCAAATTTTTCTCTGTGATTCAAAATTTGTGTTCCAAAAACGTAATGTCGTTACGTTTATTATGTCGTTACGTTGCTACGTAACGACATAATTCTTTTCATACCAGTAATTAGAGAATTTTCATTTTTTTCTAAAAATTTAAACTTTACATTAATAAAAAAAGAAGAATATTTTTTATTGCATATAAACATGCAATAAAAAATGTACACACCGATATTACACAGCTTTCATATCAGTTTCTAAAATTCCTAAATCTCGCCATATTCTCTGTAGGCATACTAGAATTCTACGCATTTATAAATAAAACAAATCTAATCTAATTTCTCACAGTGAAAGAAAATAATATCAGAAAAACAATACTACGAATTTGGAACACTAAACAATGCTTCACATACCCACACACACATATATTATCAATGAACTCATATTATCAAGCGCAATTACGATACCAAACACTACGTATTAAAATAATGAGATAAACGTTACTTACAGGGTCAAAGTTTACAGTTTTGCTACTGTTGAGTAGATCATTGGACTATCGATATGTATCGTCAGCTGGAAAGCATTATCAACATATCAAAACCAAACAATTAAAATAACAAAAAATGTCTCAAAGATGATTTACAATTAACACAACAATACAAAGTTAAAATACACAAACGATATGTTAAACATTGCACATAAAAAAGCTACATTACTGTTCGGCATCCCATACAACCTCGTTTTCCCTTGTACACAACGATCTGTAATCGCTCGAAAAACATCAAAGAATTGCACAAACTCGGTGTCCATGTGCACATCGATCAATTATCACTTAAAAAAAAAAATTAGAGAACTGCACAAACTCGGCATCGCGCACTACATTGGCTCTGCCCTTGTACACATCGAACTATTTTGACTTAAATAACATCAGAGAATTGCACATACTCGGCATTGCGCACTACATTGGCTTTGGCCATGTACAAGTCGATTTATTTTCACTTAAAAAAATAAGACATTGTATAAACTCTGTATTGCTCATATACTCAGAAATCTGCTTTCACTTAAAAAAATATCAGAGAATTGAAGAAACTCGCGTATAAGCAACTCCATTGATTCAAGTTGTAAAAACATTTTTCCAGAAAAATGACACAAAGCAAAAATAAAGGTACCAGAATAAAGTAATTACCAAACATCCAAATTGCTATATTTGACAAGCACTTGATATTTGAATAAAGTCAATAATAATAAATGAAATTTACCTTCAGTCTTCTCCTTTTGCACCCCATCACATTCTCCTTCAAGCACACCACTCAACATCACATTCTTCTTCAATGCACACTTCCCTACAAAAACTTTTCCAATCTGTCGCCGAATTTTTAGCAATATGTAATTACGATCGTATAAAATCAATTTCCGCATATAGGTAACTCGCAAAACGCCACACATGTTCAATTTACTCTTCGCAAACCACGAGTGGTTTCAAACAGACCTTGGTAATTTGATGCTTACATTCGCCTCCAGTAACTCTACACATTCACTCAAAACCATATATACCGTTCTTTCGCTCTACTAGATTCATATCAGTTTCACAAATTGTGCATTTATATGGTCTTGCAATCAAACGTTTCTCCATAACCATCATCCGCTTTTTTTATTTACCTATCGCTCACTGATACAAAAAAAAAAAAAAAAAAATCTGAATTTTCAGATTTTAATTACGTCCAAGGGCTTTATTTTTCATTTGTGGTACCTTTATATTAAAATCATGTCTTCGCACTTAACCAAAATTCCGTTCAACACATATCGCCAAATATCAAATCAACATATCTTAGATTTTCGATCACGGCGATGGGGATAAAAATGTTTTTCTGTACAACGTTCCATTGCTCGCTTTAAAATCCTTGATTTGTCATCAAAAATTCGTTAAGTTTTAAACTCGAAATAGATATAACAAATTCCAATTTTAAATTTGGGCTTCACCTGTCCATATTAGTAGGGATTTTTCAATTCAGGGCGAAATTAAAGGTCGTGATTTTTAATCACTACTAGAAACATATATACATTATGCAGATTTTTCTTATTTAATTTCTTCAAAATCTACAGGGAGATAATATTGGTGTCAACAGTTTGAAAAGTGTACAGCCAAAAGATTTTAACGCAAAATGCCAAAACGAAAACAATAGTCCCTCAGGGACAAAGTCCCTTTGAACTAAAAAAAAAAAAAAAAAAAAATCCAGATTCAGCTAATTATTCATTCTGCAGAAAGCATCGAATCAGACACACTCATCAATAATCAAAACGTTCTTTAAGCAAAATAATTCTTTTCTGCATTTTGAGAAATTACAGTTATAATTTTTAAATCATGCATTCAATATTTTCAATCGTTTGGTATTTTAATAAGACATTTGTCAGAGATAACACATTGCGTTAAATGTTAAAACTACCACACAGCACACAAAAGTAGATTTATAATTAAAGAAATTTCGTGCAGAACATTATAAACTTAACATTTCGACTCAGTTAAAATATAATTTTTCTCTAAATACGAAGCTAGAGCATACTTGTTTTTAAGAAGAGGCGTAACCAATATTACGTCATAAAAAGGCATAAGACAAGTAAACATTGCATCAACTGATGCAGCCTATTCTGCAATTTATCCCCAAAATGTTATATAGTAATTCTTAAAGTTCATTGATATTAAAAATAGGTAATAAAAATTTGATTATTATTGATAAGCTCATATGTATGAAGTAATCAACTTGAATAGTAAACTAATGAATATATAAGTTTGCATTTAATATTCATTTGTAATTCAAATGAATCTTTAACATTTCATTAATAATAAAAAACTCATGTAGATGAAATAACATTTGAAAGTCCAAAAATATTACACAAAAAGATTTTTAAATCTAATACATAAAGTATTGGATTATTGTATTAATAGTTCATAATAATATTTCAAAAATAACTTTATGACAATTCCTTATTTTTTTCACTTAATTACTGCTATTAACAAAATAAATGGCTCCCAAAATGCTGGGACACTCTTAATTCTATATAAAAATAGTGTTCCACACAAATTCAGTTAGAATTTTTTAAAGAATATCTTTGTTCTGTTCATTATAAAATTGTATATAAAATTTATTTATATCTTAATTGTGGTATAAGAGGAAAGGTGTACAAATACATTTCCACTGTATTTTTTAATACTTATCAATTAAACAACTATCTACAATAATTCAGTCTGATGCAAATAATGATATGTTGGAAGGGCAAAGTAATAATTCAGTTCATATAATAAATTACAAATAGGAAATATTGATGTTATTTCATTACCATACTTTAAATCTTATACTTCTATGTTGTCACAAAATAATTTCTAATTTGTTTGGTAATTTTCAGACATGGGAAACCGGAAATCCACCGTTTGTTTCTAGTACGTAAAAATTAAGCAGCATGCTAGAGGAACAGGAGGTGAAGGTCCTGCAATTAATCGCCTCAGCATTGATGAAAAATTGATCATCATGATTGGTGCAATATGCACAGAAGGCAATCCTGAAATTAAAGAAATTGGATTTCAAGTAACAAAATCTTATCCCTATATTAATACAGCTTTCCCTATTTTACATTATCATCTTTAATTTCTTTCCCAATTTAAATATTTTGTTAGTTTGCTTAATTTTAAAGTTAGTTTAACTTAAAAGTTAGAAAGCATAATAATTTGGTGAAGAGATAAAGAGATTTTGAATGTGCTTGCCGTTTAACATGCGTGATCAATTTTAAATTATATGAATTATCTGAAGATTCAATTATATGCACAGTTGTTTATATAGCATATGGGAAATATTTCACAGTAAATATTAATTATTATGAAATATTGCAAATTATATCTTCAAATGAAAAACTGGCAGCCTTTTTATTATGAATTTGATAGACAGAAAATTCAGATGAAAATTCAAAAATGGAGTTAAAAAATAATACTGACAGTTTTCAAAGTACACCAATGGAAGAAGTTATTGTTGAATGTGTCATTCCAGAAGCTAGGTAAGTGATTACGTTAGAAATAAAACCTTTTTGTTTGCATACATGTGCTTCATAAAATGCTGTCGCCATGTTTGTTCAGTCTCTTGGTCACGGAAAAACGTGATATCAGACATACATTAGACTGTTGCATATGTTTTGCGATATCTCATAACTGCCTCTTCGTCGCTACTAGCACAATATACCGCTCCTTCTTATTCATTGATACTCATGGATGACTCCTTGAACAGATGTTTTGTCTGTCTGAATTGCTCGCCAGGCTCGAGAAACGATGCTGTGAGCAATTCCGTACTCCTCTGCCACACTTGTTATAATTCAACCTTCTTCCAGCTTCTCAATATTGTGATTTCGATTAAAGTCATCCAGATTATATCTCCTGGATTGCCTGTTGGCCATATCATACTTTAGTAGCAACTCAGTGTCATTAAATTCACTTTGCAATAACTTTCAACAAATTGTGTACTGCCAGTGTGCTTTATACCCTTCCGATATTTGACTCCTAAATCATGTGTTATATATCCACATGCCCTTCTGTATAGGTGCAAGGTGTTTCACCTGATTGGTTGTTCGGTCCATTCTATTGCAATGTTTCACTTTTATGTGAATTTCACTTCCTCAACCTTCATTTTTGCACACCAGTGTAGATGCCTTAAAATAAACCATGTCAAAAATGAATTTGAACTAATATGTATATATATGTATGTAAACTGATACTCTAATTATAATTTACACTCATGTCCATAAATTAAGCATAATGCCAAATCAGGCAAAGGAAGAGTTAGAAGCAAAACAAATTTGACTTATTTGTAAAGCTTATTTATTAAACAAAAGGTAAAGAGCAAAAAATGCTATATGTTGATATTATTAAAAATATTAGCGATTTTTCTCCCTGGAGCAAATTACCAAAAAAAAAAAAAACTATTTACGAAAAACAAATATTACATGGTTGGTATGATGTTAATACATTGTATGTCCCCGACGATGCAATACAGTCCGTACAACTCTAGGCATGAGAGTATCAAATTATCGATCTGATCTTCGGGATATTACACCACTCAAAAGCACTGCTCTCCGAAGCTCCGGTAGACATGTAGGAGGAGGTTGAAGGGCTGCAACTCGGCGGCCAAGCATGTCCCACACGTGCTCTACTGGATTCAAGTCCGGTGAGAATGCTGGCCAGCCCATACGGGTGATATCCTCCGATTGAAGGCATTCGCTAATGATGTTTGCATGGTGAGGACGGGCATTGTCATCCATCCATACACACAAATTGTGCGCCCATGGCGCCTCGAAACAAACGTACATGTTGTTCCAGAAAGACGTCCCGATAGATTTGGCTTGTCATGGTTCCAATTGAACATGCAGGTCAGTTCTGGAACCCAGAATAATTCCACCCCAAACGAGCACTCCTGCACCACCATAACGGTGTCCGTTCAATGATGTTTCTTGGTGGTAACGGTCCCTGGAGCTCTCATATGAACGTCCGGCGAGAATCAGACTGCAAGCTAAACCCGGATGTCGGAACATCACACAAGCCCACTGTTGCGGTGTCCACATGCTGCTCTCTACTCCAGGCTAACCGCAGGCGCAGTGAGTGCAGTAAGTGGAACGCATCTGACAGGTCTACGAACATATAGACCAATCTGCCCTAAGCGTTTGTACACGGTCTGCCTTGAAATTGTCGTACCGGTGGCTGAAGAGAGCTGACGAGACAGGTCTGAGGCTGTGCTCCGCCTGTTTCTTTTGGCAGTAACTGCCAAATACCGGTCCTCTTTCGGCGTTGTAACTCTGGGGCGACCTGTGCTGTAACGTCTACTCACCTTACCATCATCTTGGAATCGTTGCCATAGCTTGGAGATGACCTCTGGCAATTCAAGTTTTCTGATACTTCCAGTTGGGTAAGCCCACATTCCAGACGGCCGATAATTCTACCACGTAAAAAATCATCTATGCGTCCTTTGTATCATAACTATTCGGTTATTGCACTGAAATGCTTATAAAGCGCCTGCGAACAATTTTACTTCTTGCCTGTATTCCTTATATATCACTCTCTTACACTCTCGTCATTGTGACGTACCATCGGTGTCATCTGGTTACTTCCTGAAATTTGCATATGATTCTTGAAGTTATGTGTAGTGATTTTACAGGTGATATATTTATATTAGAGTTCCGCGTGACTCCGAATTATCCTTAATTTATGGACATGAGTTTATTTCTTATACACCATTTGTGGAAAGTGCAGCAACACCTAATTTTCATGATTATATTGAAATAAGTCAACGTAAGTTCCATTGAAGCTCTTAAATGGCATTTTTATTAGTTGCTTTAACAATCAAATTATATTGTTATAGCAGAAATGTAATATTACTAATTCATCATAGTAGATATTATTGTAAATCATTAACCAATTATTCATATTTTTTAATTAAAGTTTCTTAGAAGATGGGGAAGCTGCATTTTGGTTCAGTTTTAAAAATATCTCAATCTCATCTTAAAAATCTTAAAAATATCTCATCTTTCACAAAGACAAATGTCCACCAAAATAGGTACAACTTTATATCTAGAGCCAATGCATGAGATCTGATTTCTCTAGGTAGAGGTTGAGTTCCTTCAAATATTATTTATAGATGTATTAAATTCTCTTGTAGCAACTACTTTCGAAAGAGGTTAACCATACTGAATGCCATCTTTATAAGGTGACTGCCTCAGCAGAAGACCAAACTAATATGGAACCATGCATGACAAACTTAAGAAAATTTATTGTATAAATAACATTAATAATGTATAAAGTAAAAACTCCCCAATAAAGAAATTAAGATTCTGTGCTGTCACTAACTTGTGTGTAATGTTTCGCTGTTCTAATAACTCAAAACTCGGACAAATTTTCTATGTTTCATATTCTGCACTCGTTTAATAAAACTAGAGAAAAGGGGGAAAAACATATGAACGAAAAACTATGTTTGGAATGCTGCAACGTGTTTTTATTTGAACTTAAGTTATACTTTCTCCAAGTATCTGTCTGTTGTTACCTACTTTGTAACCTCAAAAAATTTAAATCAATAACTTTCCCTCCTGCTATTAAATTATATGATTATTATTATTTCAAACTGAAAAACACTTTTTTTTGGTCCTTGGAAATTTAGTTTATGAATCAACAGGAGCAAGCCCAAATACTCCCATAACTGGTTCTATTCCATGCCAAGTGATTCTAAACTGCCAGAATCGTAAGTTATACTATATCTCTGATTTTACTACGATTTTCTACCAGATATTCTTTATAAATGGAAAATATGAAAATTTAACTTTTTTAGAAATAGTGTGTAAAATTTTCTATTCTTTGTTATATTTTTGTAATATACATTTTACAGGAAACAGGCGACGAAGAGAATTCCCTATCGAAAGGGCTGCTAGGAATTTTTCCGAATTTCAAAAGATGCAGGCAGGAGCCACGTCAGAATTAACAGAGGCAATGCAAGTTCAGACAAAGACCATTATAAATACGACTCCTCTATTAAAACAAATTGCAGGAAATTTGGCTTAATATAAAATTAAAATTATTAAAATAAGGATTTAAATAAAAACTGAAATGTTTATTGTAATACTTTTGTAAAAGCTGTTATTTATTTCAGACTGGAATGTTAAGTCATGAAGAGTATTTGAAATTATACACATCAGCTATCATTATGAAATAGAAACTTTATAAATTGAAGAAATGGAATTTGAAGTAGTCCTTTAATTTCAGGTTTTGTATAACTGCATGCAATTCCTTAGCGTTTTAGAATAAAATAATGCTTTATTTTATTTGAACAAAAGTATGATTAATAGCAATAAATTGTGGGCTGACTATTTATTATCTAAAAAAGAAAAAGGTATACGAAAAATGAAAGCGTTTATTTATGACAATATTACAGAATGTAATACAATAATGTACAGCAATACACTTTCAGTTCACTTCCACGCAACAATGCTATATATCTAGAAAAGAAAAAAAAATAATAATATAGCAACTTCAATATTAGCAAGTGAACACAAATTATAAATTTTAAGAGATGCATTCTTGGGCTATGACTGGAAATTTTTTGTTACACATAATGGGATTGAGCACATTAACTAAGGTTAAAGTAAACAAGTGATACTTCCAGTTTTCAATATAAGAATTCCAAGCTTTAATTTATGCAGGTTTTAGATTAATATAACTTAAATAGACTCCCATATTCAGTTTCTAAAAATTCTTTTATAATGATTATTTTTAACATTTCTCATATGAATAGTTAAGATTTGCACAAATCTCTTTCAGATCCAAATTTTCATACAGCTAAAAATTATGGTTCAAGTTTCATTTAAAATGATAATATAAACATTAAACTTATGACAAATATAATTTATAAATCTTTCACAAATTTTACTTAATATTGTAGAGTTCCTCACTTCGGAATTCTAAGTTAA